ATACGCATTCCACCACCACCTCAAATGCAATTCGATAAATTGATGGAAAACATTGAAAATTTAAATTTGGACACGGAACTACTAGACAGGACCACGCCAAAGATTAACTGGAAGGGTCAACCTCTGTCCATCTCACATTTACCGCATTATGACGCCTTGCATTCCAAGGAAGCACATGTCGCATCAACGTTGCGACTGACCCCCATACAATACCTGACGTCCAAAAACACACTTGTTTCATCAGCTCGGAGGTATATTCAGAAATCGCTGCCGTTTCGAAAGAGTGATGCGCAGAAGTTGCTCCGAATTGATGTGAACAAAGCCAGTAAACTCTGGGAATTCTTTATGCAAGTTAAATGGATTTAAGTAAAATAAGCATGAGAATAATAACTTTAATTACGTAGAAAATTATAAGGTCAATCATCTTCAAACTTCTTCCTTCAAAGGAATTGTGTGATGACTTGTAAATAATCATGCTCAATTAGAACTTTCTTTTTTGAAAAAAAACAAAAAAACAATAATAATAATCATTTATTATCTTTTGAATTTCCATTTTGTAATCTGTAAATTTTCAATGCTAAAGAAAAAAAACATATGTATCCGAGATTGGAAGGTCGAGGGTAGAGGCGATTCTTCCCAAGGCCAGTTGACGGAATTCCGATCTCTTTGAAAAAAAAAAGGTTTCGCAGTCTATGATGCGTTTTGTTGTTTTGCCTATTGGTAAGGCATTTTGGATAAATAAGGGTAACAAGTGATTTTCCATAAAGCCAATTTGACACGTTCGAAGTTCGAGTTTCAAATGGTACCACCTGCTGCGCTTATCTCGTCGACAATTCATGCCATGAAAAAAAAATACCATGATTCTTTTAAACTTTGCTTCCATCGTTATTCTCTTTACCTGATCCTAAAACGTTCAACCAAACGACAAATGTTCCGTTTGTGTAACGCAGAACGAGGATCATTATAGAAATCAATTGAACTTATGAAGGCGGGAAACGTCGGATTGCACGTTCATTGGTTGGAAGAGAGGTCGCATTGTGATGAGCTCTCCCGATGACATGTGCGAGAAGGATTTGTTGACACTAACGAATCCTAATCTCGAACCGACGTGCGCGCGTGTCATGAAGATTCAAAAAACCAGGCATTTATGAATAAGTGAATAAAGTGAATGAACGAATGAATGTATGTACTGTATGTATGTATGTATGAATGAATGGATGGATGGAATGAATAAATGAATATTAATTAGAACTCAGTGTGTTTCTTAGACAAATGTCAAAAAAGCTTAGTTTATTATTACTATTATACAGTATGTATTATCCTCATTAAATAAACAAACAATGACACATTCACTTGAGCTAGCGTGTACATAACAGTGTCGCACAAATAAACGTCACATTTCGGTCAGTCGTCCGCTATTTATGGAAAATAAAGGTGGGCTAAGACTTCGACCAACGAGAGATTATCATCTCGAGGCACAAGATTTTTTGTGAAAATGAATTTCTTATTTGCGTGCAACCTACGATTTTCCTAATGACGTCGGGGGCAAAGTGCAAACGATTAAAAATTTAATGCTCATTCACTCGCCTGATAATCCTTTGATATCACGCATTATTCATTCAAAAATAGCGTGTATTCGTCATGCCCCTAAATGGCATGCAACATTAAAAAAACTTTTGTAGAATGTTCGGTCCTTTTTTTTTTTTTTTATGGTGCATGCGGTTTCCGTTTTGCCATTGGTCATCCTACAATTTTTTATTTGATCTGATAAGCCTGCCTCATATGGCGATGATTGGTATGGAATTTAAACATAAGGTTACAAATCAATTTAGGAAATAAATGGTTTCCAAAGGGCGATCAACAATTTCCGATTTTTTTTTTTTTTTTTGCCCAAATTTGTTCAAGCCCCTTTCCCTGTTTGCATAATGATCGACGAGAAATTATTTGAATTCGATTGTTGTTGGCGCAGTATCAAAGCAAGATGAGGGTAGCAACGTAATGCTTGCTTGCGACGTAATTTTGGGTTTGCTGACAAACGCATGCGACGACGTTCTATGCAATAACGTAAGAAATCCCTTTGCTCGAAAATTTTTTTACGTTTTATTGTTATTATTTTGTTGGGGTGGTGTGGAAAATTTGGTCAATTAAATCAACCACACTGCCGATTCCTTTCTTTCGAATGACATAAATTCAAAAATCGAACATCGCACCTAAAAATAAATAAACAAACAATCGTCATCAGGATTCTACTCGCAATTGATTGGATCCTACTTTTACGCAAAATAATAGGTTACATGTGCTAAGCATTGTTCAGGGGATCACAAGGTTCATTGAATAAGTCGCTCCTCTCGGGGGTAACATTGGGTGCGCCTCCGATCGTCTTTTGTCGCCCATTGACCTTCCTCCCCGGCACCAGATTCACCAGAGCTCCAGGTGGTGAACTTGAACTGAGTTCGGTGGGCACGACCGGCCGAACGTCCCAATGTGGCAAGCATCTCCCCCGACAATTCACGGTAGAGCGAGGACTTTCAACAAGGCCATCATTGGTTTTTTGTAATGTATATACTGTAGAATGACGGAATGGTCTTTCAACAAATCCGACAAAGAACAAATCAAATCAAATCAAGACTTCAAACATTTCTTATTCATCTACTCCTTCCTCGCCAATGATATGTATTATGTTTATGAAAAAATAAAAAAGAAATCCGCCGATTTCCCTATACACGAGTTTCACTATCAGAACGCAGAACGAGCAATTCCTTTTTTTAAAATAACATTAATCTTTGTGCGACACAAAAATAATTATCCATCATAGTGATGGAAATTGTTGATCAAGACAAAAATCAACTATTCCGGTATTACGTGGGAACACAAAATCAATGCATCGCGTTTTTCTCATAGTAAATGCTAAGGAGAATGGAGAAAAAATGATTGTGTGTAAGGGAATTGACACAAATATTTGATAGGTACACAATCGTTTGTTCCTCTTTGTTCATAGACGCTTTCTCTCGACGGGTGTTGCGGTAAAGCCGGTGAACTGTAATTGCGAATAGAATGTTCTCAGCGTTTCAGGAATGAATGTGAATTCAGTCTGTCCAATCACATCGATTATCCAGCACAGAATGAAAATGCGTTTAAGCTAGGATCATCCTAAATTACCTGCATGTATTTTCCTTGCAAAGGGTTGACATTGAGTCCACGATTATTTGAAGGTTTAATCTTTAAATGGGAGGGATTGACCTCGTTGTTTGAAATTCAATCTCCTGATACTATAACCTGTCACATTTTTTTGAAATGAGCCAAGGAAATATTTGAGTTCTCAGGAAATTTCTTTTATCCACTTTGAGTAAGATTGTAATTTCCGCTTGGGATTCAATAGGAAATGATCGGCCAAGTGTTTAAATCTCGATCCAACGTAATTTCAACTTTAGCGGTAGCCGATCGTTGGTCAAGGGAGAATTGTCCGCTTCGTACCCACACCGGATTGAACTTGTGTGATCGACACAGCATTTTCTATTGATCTTATTTGACCGTGGATTAATTGCTTAAGATTCTTCAGGATAGACCCACCTCCCAGAAAGAAAGAAAGAAAGAGAAGGAAATTATCCCGTTTGCGCAGCTGCACAAAATTCAGCGCATCGGATGTCGACAGATTTGGTAGTTTTGTAAAAAGAGGATCTATTTTTTTGCATCTCCTTGATGCGAGGGTGCATTCGATGTGCACGGTGAGAAATGAATTGATTCTTAAAGTTCGGCCCGAGAAGCTAGTGAAGTCGGCGATCGTACGGCTGGCTGCGCCAAATTTAGCAAGGTTCCGTGAAATTTCTGAATGGCATGAAAAAAAAGTAAGCGAGTGAGAGAATTAGGTGGTAACAAATCCATAGGCAACGCACGATATCGATAATGAGAACGTCATTCCTGCATTATGATGCATGACCAAATAAAACCTTGAGGTGCCTAATG